TATATATATATATATGCATATGTAAAACTAAATCCAAGTAAAGGGATAAATCCAAGTAAAGTGATACGTGGCGTGCAAAAATAGTGCATTTTGGTTTCTATTTATGTTCAGGTGAATTTAGTTAGTTTGGATATTGGTGTTTGGTTTGATTGATCTTAAAGTTGTAGGAAGCAGCTGTTCCAACCGTAGCATTTCCGTATTCTCCCGAGTGGAGCCCAATTTTACACGAGTGAGTAAAGTGAATGTGATTGGTCGAATATCAAGAAGGCGGGATTGTTGTGGTGGAAGGGTCGCAAGCATGTTTGGTTGTGGCTGGTGTCTTGCTAACCAGTCAGCAACTTAGTGCTAGTAGGTTACCAATGGGAAATTGTATTTGGGACCAAGTAGCACTTAGAAACGACACTGTCAAGGAACGCTACGGACAGCGGAAACATGCAAGAGGAGGAGAGTTTTGTGTCGGAGGTCGTGGATGAGTCTCCTCCATCATACATTTTTTATTTAGAGGAGGAAAGAGCGGACGAAGTTGTTGTGGAAGAGGACGCCAGGGCAACAGCAGCTTGGTTTGGTGTAGAAGGCTTCCAGCTGTACATGTTTGAGCCCTTGCCTCACAACGCTGCCAGTTCTGTTAGCTCTACGCCTGCAGAAGACACAGACGTCCATCCCCGTGAACACTGGGACACAACTCAATGGGAAAGGAAATGATCCTTATTTTTTATTTCAGCCGTTGCGTATATTAGCTGCGACATATGAATCAAGATGCGATGACCGAAAAATTTGATTGACAGATGACTGTAGATATACGATTGGCCGAATTTAGGTGTTCAGGCTGACGTAGAACTAACTGGCCTGCATAAGATAACGAAAAGAACCACAGAATTTAAGTCAGGATTTTATTTTATTTTTTTTTATAGAAATTTTCTAAATTTTGGGACAATGTTGTCTGATAAAGTGTACATTTATATGCATGTTTAAGCCAGAATGATTTGACATTTAAATATGACTACCCTACGACTTTAACAATCTAAAAATTTGCAGTTCACAACGACACCCTTGCTTTACATCAAAGGTTTAATTATGTCTAAAAATGGCCCAGTCAAAGTTCTGACTTAAGCCCTTTGAAAGGCTCCCACATATGTGAGCAGACTCTAAGCTATGCAGAGTCTGCATGCATGTCTGCTGCATTTCTCATAGCAAATGGCTTCATTTCCCACACAGCCGCAGCGTTATCAGATGAGTTTGTCCTCTAGTTTTACAAAAACGAAAGAAACAAAGTCTAGATGGGCACATTGTGCTGTTTCTTCTACCAAGAAAGAAAATAGGGGAGAGAGAAATGAGCTGAAATTAGCTGAGATGGCGGCCATGAGGTTGCAGGTCCTTGCAACTGGCTGCTCTGATCAGTGCATTGCCACCAGCTATTGCCTGAGAAGCCTAGTCAGCTCAGTGTCACATTTAAAAAAAGTTTGTGATAAATACTCATTCCAGCAGGAAACTGAGACACCGTATAAATGGCTGTAAAAACTTTGCTTTGCATGGAATCCACAGTAGTATGTATGGGCCCTATAAAAACTGACCAGACTGTCCACCCAATCAGATCCAACAAAAAATGCATTGAGACAAAGTTAAATAATTTTGGAACCAGAGACAGAGCTTAAGTTGTTCTCACAAGAGTTGCTTCTGGGAGGCTGAAACGAAAAACACCCAATAGAACTATTTTTCTGTATCCCGATGAAGTTGGATCACTGGATTAACTGGTTTATCAACAGATGGAAGAGAAGAAGAACCCAGTAAGGAGATGAGAGATTCTCTGCACTGAATCACAAAGCCGGCAGTCAGATTTACATCTGATCTTAGACTTAGACTTAGACTTA